GCCGCCGCCGCCGCCGCCGCCTGAGCCCGCCGGCCAGGAAGGTGCTGCTCAGGCGCTGTTGATAGCAGACGCCGAGGTTGACGATTCCAAGCCAACGCGGTGCGCGCCAGCTCGGCTCCCGGGAGTTTCTGGATCTAAGACGCCTGGGGGTTGGGGAAAGAGCTGCGACGGTTAATTACTGACGAAGGAGAAAGTGTCCGCCCGGATCTATGCTTTTAACGCTGCAACCTTTTCAGCTTATTTGCTTGGAGGTAAGCCCCGTTGCACTTGTTGGCTTGTGTTCGCAGCAGGCTGCTCTGAGCCACAAACAAGCCAAGTGCGTTGTAGCCTAGCTTGACGTGCGAACCCAGCTAGCGTGGTTAGGTTCGGGTTCAGAGTATCCTGCAAATTCAGAAAATTGAGTTAAATGAATAAAACGTTTCATTTAACCATGGATACGCACGCTGGATGAAGACTGACGATGGGAGCAGCTTCCACAAAAGCATACTTAGTTTCAGGCAGCTAAGTGGGTTTGTAACACCAACCAGTAAGAATTCAACAGGGATTCAACTGCATGCAGGTGCAGGTGGAGATTATCAGACTAATTTTTAACTGTTGTGCAGTTAAAGGCAGTGTCTCTACCAAGCTTGGTGAGAGGAATTCCCAGTCCTGATTCAAATAAATATTATGTAATAGTTAGTGTGTCTGATCAAGATTCTTTCCCCACCTGATCCTCACTACAACACAAGCATGCCCCAACAAACTCCTCCTCCTCCTCCTTATCTTCCTCATAAGGTTTACATTGTTCCTTAGCTGTGTTCATGTTAAAGTCGTGGTATGGGTTTTGCTATGGATACAATCTGACATGCTTCAGTGACTATTCTGTTGGTAACACAGTCAGGGTGGAAATAACCTGGCAGCAGTTGCTCACTTTTAGCCGGTGCAAGCATGCCCTTCTCCCTGGGCACTCTCTTCCATGGCCATTCGTAGGACAGCACGAAGTCTGATTGTTCAAACCAGGCTTTTCCCTTATCCCCAACTTGGAGACCTGAACCAGCTTGAACAGTAGTTGTGGAAGATGCACGATAAAGCAAGAGAAAAGACCCACTGCTTTGTCTGTGCTGCTTCACAGCATAAGTCTCCCTGTACCTTCAGCTCTTGATTGGGCCTTACTGCTTTTAGTGAACATGGGATTGCTAGAAGGGCAGCAAATGCTATGCCTGTAAAGTTTTCTGCCACTCAAGGACTGGTAGACAGCACTTTGAGTCACCCATGAAGAAGAGACCTAAAGCTGGAAAATCGGGTTCAAATCCACATTCAGTGTTGCAGTTCACTGAGAGCAACCTTCAGTTTTAAAAATAGGGTATTTGTGGATGCCACCTTACAGAATGTAAGTGTAATAATAAGTCCACTTTAATGTAACATAGTTCATTCAGCTGAAGCAACCTTGCCTGACTTGCTGTGTGCCAGGTGTGTGTTGGACTCCATGAGCTCCCTCGTTTATGGGGAATGGTCCAGTACATCTGGCAAACAGCAATGGTTGAGCTAAACCATTTGAAAAATAAGGCTTTTGGCTCCAAAGCAGGCTTTGGAACACATGGGAATGTAAACATAGCCCTGTCAACCACAGTTTAAAGCGGCAATGCTTTTTTCCCCAGGATTCATCAGCCATAAAGGGCTCAGTACCCCGGGGCTTATGAAGGCCTATGAAAATGTTTCCCCCCCCATCTTTATTTAAAGAACTATAATTATATAAAATGATATTATGGGATCTGTACATTGTACACAATGCAAATATTTATTTGTAGATGTGACTTGGGAGTCTATCAATATAGAAATGTCCAGAGTGTATAATGACTTTATTCCAGCCCTGGTGCAGTCCTACTGCATTTCTTGCTTGTGATGAGAATGGGGACAGTCCCAGATCCACAAAACTTCTCTCGAGCCCACCCCACCCACACAAAAAAAGAAAGAAAAGAAATTGCTAGTATCTCATCATTCCATCCATAAGACAGTTGCAGAGAAGAGGGGACCAGAGATAAGTCTTGTCAGATTTGCTCTGTTGGTCTGGGCTACAGTGTGAGTGGAGGCAGTTGCAAGGATCCCAGTCAAAACACGCCAGATCAATACTGGCTATATTTTGGAGTGGAATTACTTGGATGATGTATATTTGTGGGGTCATAAACAACAACGAATCTGAGTGGCCGCTGAGCCACCTTTTCCCTTAAAGGACCTGTGGACAGAACACCATTTAAGCTGAAGCCTGAGAGATATAATAAGGCAAGATTTCTTGTCAGAGGGAAAACAGATGGTTCACAATGCCTACAGAGCCTCATCAGTGCAAAACTGAAACACTCTTTTTTGAAATTTCAAACACACAGCAGCTGAGTTAGAAATAATTTTAGCTGCTTGAACGTAGACAATACCGTGGAATACACAGCTCAGAAAATTATTCTGGAGTGGTGAAAAGTGTCCTAATGGTAGTGACCTATGATTAAAAGCTATGCAGAACAGACAGTAATGTGGCAGCACACGGTCCTGTCAGTGATGCTCAGTGTTTTCAGTTATGTAAACTGTAACTGAAACAGTTCAGTATTTTGAAAGCTCGTCTCATTTTCAGTGGGTTCCAACCTAGTAGATTTCACAAGCAACAGAAGAGGTGATTAATGTGTGTTTTTTTGGCCTATATCACTTGGGACAACAAGTGGGAAAATCTCCCATGGCTGAATCTATCACTATAGAAAACAGACACATTAACAATAACAACAAATGACTTGTTAAAGAACACCCTGGGCTAGATATAGTATTGGATGGATGCCTTACTCTGCAAATAGTTATTCAAGTTCATGTTTGGTTTTAAAATAAATCTAATAAGAGCAAATGAGTTCTGAAGTTGCCAAGTGCACTGAGTTTCAAAGGAGGCCATCATGTTAGTCTTCCTCACTATAGTGAACTCTATAGAGATTTATGTCAGAATGTATCTGTGTATATTCATCAGCATATGGAAATGCCTATTCCCTTTTCATTCTGTATTTTGATTGTCCTTTTTGTTTTGATGATCTATAATTGGCCACCCTTGTTAAAACTCTTCTCTCTGTCTAGCATGTTAATTTTCCACATATAGGGATTTCATTTGTTTATAGAGAAACATAATGTGTGAACATCACCTTCATTTGAAATGGAAATGCCAAGAAACTGGTTCTCCTCTTCAAAGGTTGCTTGTGGGAACTAGATTTAATATATTATAGCCACTAAATCTTTAGTAAGGAAAATGTTAACATATTAAAAAAAATAAAAACATTTTGAATGGAAAGCATCAGTTAATTTGGCTCAAAATGAAGTACAGTATGCTAATTTCTACAGGGGAGAAAAAAATCTTCCCTAAATATCCAGCTAACTAACTCAAACTCAATTAATTGAATAAGTGTCATAAAGCTGCAGGGAGTGACTCTCCCCTCCCTTTTTTTAAAAAAAAGAATGAGCCTAATTACTTTAATTAGAACTGCTATAATTGTCCTATCTTCTTTGTGGGGCTCAGTTTGCCTAATTGCCTTGTTGAGTATAGTGTGAATTACTAATATCTCCTGGTTGCAGGTCACTAGTGGCTTTCTTCCAGAATCCTCTCATGTCATACACAATGGCGGACAGGAAATTGTCCAGTCACTTATTGGTAGAGGTGATAATGGATGCTTTAAGTGATAGAAATATTCAGCAGTGATTTAATTCTGGAGAATTAAATCCCACCATGTTTGGGGTTGTAAGATCTGGTTTGGTGGTTTGGATTCAAATCCATCTTAGTCAAAGACCAACCAAACCCCTCTAACTTCTTGGTTGAGATCATCACTGTTTAAAGGCAGGCATGTGCATGGAGATGGTGATTAGACTTGGAAGTGACACATTATATAGAATAATATCTAATATTATAATAGCCCTATTCTTGGGAGGGAAGGTGATTGGAAAAGCCATTCCTTCCATTACTGAATAATTGAACTTCTACTCCAGGGAACAAGACAGAGGTGGCTTTTCTTGTTGCAGAGTGATGGGATCTGGAAACTATGACTTTGTATGATGGCTGCTGGAGACTATGAGGTCTGCCAAATAGTAGTCAATGTTAATTTGAACATTACCCACTTTCCACTATAATAGCAAAACATTGATTCCAGAGTATAGGAAGCCCTTGCGAATGTAATCACAGCGGGGGCCAAAGTATTCATGTATCTTTTCCCCAGGATTTGGGGGGCATTTCTAATTATAAAAGGACAGTATAACATTCCATTCATGAAGTCCCCTCATTGTTGAGGGGAAGGTTAAGTTAAAAAATAAAAAATAAAAATCTTTTCCTCCATGAGGCAGGGAAAGTG